CGGCAATACTAGTCTCTGCTGCAAGGAGGCGCTCCTCGAGGAGGTCAACGGTGAGTGTGGTAGGGCAAAGAGAGAGGAAGTGGTCCCTGACCGAGCGAAGGGTGTCAGGGAGCCGGGTGACTAGGTAGTAGAGGGTGATGTACATGGGGGGGGGGGTTCTTGGCGCAGAACTCAGCAGAAAGCGCAGCGCGGTAGCGGGTGTCACTAGTGCGGAGGTGCGTAATGAGGTCAGCGACTGCGGCAAAAGCGGCGAGGTCAGGGAACAGGTACGGTAGCATGAGGCGGCTAAGAGCAGCAGTGGCAGGGGAAGAGTAGCGTGCAACTACAGCGTCGTACAGAGTCTTAGCACTCTTGTATTGACTAAAGTGCGCGCGCTCAGTAGACGGTAGGTGACTACGCACAGCAAGGCGGGCAGCAGCATCGCGCGTGGTCCACTGCGAGCGAACAGTACTGTTAGCATCAGCAGCAGGGGCAGTAGAGGCGCCAGACGTGAGATCGAACAGTGAGAGACCATCCTTGCTATCGCACTGTAGGAAAAGCTGCGGATCATCTAGCCAGACCTCGAAGTCAACCGCTCGACCCTCAGCATCAAAGGTAAGAACACTGGGACTATCCATGACAGAAGCAGCAGCAGGCTAGCAGCAGCAGCAGTGTAACTCAGCTAAGCGACGCGGCTAGGCAGGGCGGCGCGGCTCGACGGCGCTGCGCGGCTCGGCTAGTGACCAGGGGCGGGGCCGGGGCAGGGCCGGGGGAGGGCCGAGGCAGGGCCGCAACAGGTCCGGGGCAGGGCTGCGACAGGTCCGAGGGAGGGCCGGGGCAGGGCTGCAACAGGTCCGGGGCAGGGCCGGGGCAGGGTTGCGACAGGTCCGGGGCAGGGCCGGGGCAGCGCCGGGGAAGGGTCGGGGCAGGGCCGGGGCAGGGCCGGGACAGGGCGGGGGCAGAGCCGCGACAGGGCCGCAACAGGGCCGGGGCAGGGCCGCGACAGGTCCGGGACAGGGCCGCGACAGGGTCGGGGCAGGGCTGCGACAGGCCGGAACAGGGCCGCGACAGGGCCGAGGCCGGGCCGCGACAGGGCCGCGACGAGCGACGGGGCAGGGCCAGGGCAGCGCCGGGCGACGGGGCGACGGGCAGGGCCGGGCCGGGACGACGGGGCGACGGGCTGGGCCGGGCCGAGGTGACGGGGCGCTGGGCGACGGGGCGACGGGCCGGGCCGCGACGCGGCGGCTTTGGGCGACGGGGCAGGGCCGGGGCGGGGTCGCAACGGGGCCTCGAAGGGGGCCGCTAATGGGCCGCAAAGGGGGGCCGCGTAGGGCAGGACAGGCCGCGACGGGGCCGCGAAGATCGAGGGTAGGGCAGAGCGCGAAGCGCGCTTCGGGCAGGTAGGAAAAAAAAAATTTTGACGGTGGGCCCTTAGGAAGGAACGGTCTCGCTAGGGAACCCGCTCTATACCATGTGAAGAAACAGGAATGAATGATTGACTAGGAAATGAGTTGGGTACAAATATGAAACCCTAGAAAACTGTACCCCATAGTGTCTACCCCACTACAGCCTAGATAGGCTATGTGATTAATGTTTGACATATTTAACGGAAGCGTAATAGTGGATTAATTGAACCATCTTGTACTAGTGTGTGAGAACAAGATGAATTGATTATAGCAAAGAGATACAAGGTTTTATATGAGTACAAGGAATACGAAAGGTTTAACTGTAACTGCTGTTGCGTTTCGATGCAACGACGACTCGGTTAATTGCTCAATAGCGAGTCAGTTATTTGTCCTTGCTGTCGCGCTGCCTTTGTCAAGTCAAAGGTCGCTGACCTTTGACCTTCGCTTCAACCTCCTGCTGTTGTCGCGTTGTCAAGCGCTTTGGTTGACTCGATGTTCCTTCGCTGTGAATATGCTTCTCTTTTGTTGTAGTGCTCGATACTTCAGAAGCGTAAACTAAATGTTTCCAACACAAACATAGAATTAGCATTCGTCATTCTGTTTAACCAAGGCATTTGCTAATGCATTGCATTCAATTGCTATTGAGTGTTTGCAAAGAAAGAAGTTTCACTGAGCATGTTTCTTTCTTGTACCTTCACTTGAAAGTGTAGCTTTTGACATAAAGTGGCGCAGGATGACGCTTTGTTTTGCATGGGATGACGCTCCAGGTTGACAGTTTTCGGAGCGTCATCCTGGCCGAAAAAAAAAAAAAAAAAAAAACTGAAACCCTCTCGGAATGGCATGCATGTTTTGTCGGCATCAACCCTAAACTCCATGCGGCAAGGTGTTTAGTGCTCATGCCGACAAAAACGGCATGCCATTCCCTGGGGGGTTTATTATTTTGCCCACGGACAGCGAGCCTTTTGGCCAGGCTCGCTCGGTCCATTGAGATATACTAACGACGTGATTCAGATCGGGGCAATCTGAGGCAATCTGTCTCAATCGGAGAAATCCTTAATTTCTCGGAAGCCCTGGGGCCATTTTCAGTCGATCGGGGGCAATCTCTCGATCGCAATCGAGATCCCGATAGATTGCGATCGATCACCTAAATCTGACGCAATCGATTGCGATCGATTGCAATCTATCGATTGCGTCAGATCGGGCAGCCTGGCGGCACACGCGACTAGTAAAAGAATTCTGCTCGCAGCAACATTGTGTTGCGGCACACACGATTAGCAAAACAGGGCTACGCTATAATTGTGGAGTACCAAACTTTGCTACGTCTTGCATACATTGTGTGGAAGGGATGTGTGCCTAGCCTTGAACCCGTGTTGCTGGTTCTGACTGTCGTCCCAGAAGTTCTTCGGTCAGATCGCGCACGAGACACGGGACGCGGTCGAGAGATTGCGTCAGATCGGTGCAATCCCACCCGATCCGATCTGATCCGATCCGTCCCGATCAATAATCGACTGCCTCGGATCAACCCGACATGTACCACGTTCTAACCGGAGGTGTGTGTCAAATGAACATGAATGCTCGCGTGCATCCTTCACAAATTTGCTGCCGCTAGCAATGTGGGTTTCTCGCCATTGACGCCAGCCTGGCTTGAATAATTCCGACCGACTTTCATTAAGGACCAACCCAACCATATACGGCCCAATATCTTGTCTTGCCTTGAAGGCTCCATTTACGTTTCATACCCCTCCGTGTAAAATGCCCGGGGAATAAAAAAACATGGAATTTTAGGATGCTAGCCCTTGTCGGTGGGTTTCAAGCAGTTGCGGGTTTTCGTTACTGCTATATGCTGAGTTGGTGTTGAAAAGATTGTACCACCTCCACCCCCGCGCGCACTGGGGGCGATGAGTTGGAACCAGCGAATCGGAAAATTGGATTAGTGAACAGATACTGCGGATGAGGCGACGAAAACATATGCAGGAAACCTTGAACAACAAGGACGTCATTGGATCAGAACTCAGACACATCGAGGGCAATGTTTTAGGGCTATGTGACTTCACGTCTGATTTGGTGTTCATTTTGACTAAAAACAAACTGACATGCTAGGTTAGGAGAATTTGCGTTTCCGGGATGGAGCCCCACTATAATGGGCGGCGAATCACGTCCACCACCCTGAAGTCCCTAACCGTTATGTGCGTACGTGTGTACATTATCTGGATTCTGGAATTGAACAATGCAAGAATTTGGGAATTTCGTTACTGTTACAGCGCACTGCTGCTCCAGCTCTGGGCGGGTGCTTTATGTGAATGAGGTCAATTTCGCATGGGTCGTTTTTCGGGTTGCACATCTGCTGCGTACCACGAAATGTCGCTAACCACTGGGGTCGACTAGCACAGTCGCATGTTGGTTCACTCAACGATGTTTGCCTTGAAGTTCACGAAGTCACAATTTTGGTGCAATTTTAGCGCACAAAAGACCCCGTCGATGTGTTCTGAAAATACAATGACATCAAGATTGCCGTGAGGGAATGACGAACCGCGGTGCTTTCCCGTCTTCAATTCTAACGGGCAGTGGTTTTTACAATCTCCTGCTACGCGATCGCGCCCGATTCTCGCGGTCAGTTTCGCCTCCTAACACCGAATTCTGTACACTTTTTTGATTTTCGTGGGCAGGCCCCAAACATCTCGTGAATGTTGCACACACTCATTACGACTTTGTCTTTATTGGTGCGCTCTAAAACACAGCTGTTCATGTTTCCACGAGTCTACTGTTCATGTTTCCTGGGTGGCGTAATGATTATTCAGGGAAGTCAGTTGTATTTCTCGCCTGGGCAGAAACCGTCAGTGATCGAAAAATGAATATTGATGGCCAAAACTGACCGCGGGAATCGGGTGCCATCGCGTGGCAGGAGGCCTGTAAAAACCACTGCACTGCCCGTTGGAATTGGAGAAAAGAAAGCACGGCGGTTCGTCATTTCCTCCAATTGTCGTGCTCTCGCTCCAGTGGCTTGTGATGAAGTGATGAAGGATGGACTCGACATTCACTCTGGTGGCACATTCTTCCGTACTCAATTCATAGATGGGCATGGGGATACCGCCTGAGGTACATGAAGTAACACGCCGCCCTGAGGGTTGCTTCAACCAGGATGAGTATTTTCTTGCTAGTGCCGGGACTGACCAAATATTCTAAGTGACGTTTGATTGAAGACTGATTCGGCGTATGTTCTAGAAATGTCTTATTTTCACGCGCTCCGCACGCAATTACACCGCTCGCACAGCAAGGGCTGGTGGTCTATGTCCTGCGGCAAACGCGCGATCCAGAATGTAGTGTTTCGAGGTAAGCTCAAGGTCAGGCTTAGACAAGCAGTACTTTAGCGTGAAATTCGTGTTTCGAACGCGCACCAAGCTCCTCTCGTCTCACTACTAATATGTTCTCTTCTCTGCTGATGCCACGGCTCATCTCGAGGTGTCGAAGTTGTTCGATGCACGCCGTCGCCTTGTTTGCAGCGGGCGGAGGTTTCAAGTGGGACTTGGCTCTCATGATGACCCAAGAATGCGGTCTCCTGCCTTATCCCACCGTCCATGCTTCGCAAGCGGCGATCCTGGGTGTACTATCATGAAAATGCGACGTTCCGTTGTGTCTCTATCTACCACACTCCCGCCAGGCCCTGTCTTCGCCGTCCTTCTCGCGCTATGGCTGCTCTCGGGCTTGGCGTTCGCGGCGTGGCTCTGCTACTCCACGCACGCGGCGTACCTTGGCGATCGCTACCGCCGCCTCGACACGTGGTGCTACGAGCGCGCCAAGCTCTTCGAGCAGCACACGCTCACCACCGTCAGCCAGATACGGGTGAGCGCTTTCAATGCGCCTCATGCCATAAGCGGGGGGGCAGAATGCCAGCATCCCCAGCCAGCCGTTAGTAGCAGCAAGAGCTGCTAGCGCGGCGTGGTTGAGTGAATCTCAAAAGGCTGATGGTCTTCACCTGCAGTCCCTTGTGTACTACTAGCAGCACCTTGGTGATACGCCGCTTTGCATTCTAGCCCTCCCACCCACCGCGACATGCGGCTCACGTGCTCTGCAGATGGCTCTCAACCTCGGAATCAAACGTAAGTGCACGTTGGTCCGTCTCTAGCGATTGAGGCCATCAGGGGGCTGAACACACAAAGAAACACATTCAGGCTTTCCGGTTCCAATTAGATCCGTGATTGCTCGCTCTAGGTTCCACAGCACGGTGCAGATGTACAACGGTGTGTGCGTCTCGTAGTGTCGTATGGAAGATAGCGGTACATTCATCAGCATGGCATCACTTCGCGGCAGGTGAAGTGTCTGCCAGCCCGTCTAAGTAGCTCCGACCTGACTCGTGCTGTCTCTCTTCCACCCCTCCTGTCACCCGCACGTGCCACCCGTCCACACGCAAATGCCCACCTTTGGCAGACTCTGGCGGGGCTGGCGTCGGTGATGGGCAAGCCAAGGGGCCACGGCAACTGGACGTGGGACAGGTGCCTCACGGAGCAGCGCTGGATCGCCTACCTCAACAAGACCAAATATTCCCGACCAGGGGACACGGGCGCCATGGTCTGCCTCTTCGTTACAGATGCAGAGAGGTCAGTGGGTCGCGGCACTGTGAGAAGAGAACACTCCTTCCCACCACCCGAATCGGTTTCTCCAAGCAGCTCCACTCTGCTCCTGCCGTCCGTCACCCATGCCGCCTGCTCAAACCCGCCAAAGCATCCCGGTGTCCTCCCATGTGCTTGCCACCGCCTCGGTCACACTCCCTCGCCGCTGCTGTGCTGTGCGCAGGCCTGCCTTTGAGAGTTTCTACGGCGGCCCCATTCTCGACACCACGCTGTCGCCACGGCAGAAGGAGCCTATGTACTGCCCCAAGCTGCTGGAGCTGCACACATTCCGGAAGGGGATCATTTTGCTCATTGACATCATGCAGCGCGGGGCTGCAGAGCTCTCCTACATGCGCAGGACGGGCGACATTGTCTTCAGCCGTGTCGTGCCCATCGCAGACCTCTCTCTCAACATCACCGGCTTCGGTCAGTCAGTCAGGCCCCCATCACCCCGTTTGAACTTTGAACGTCGTCACCACGTTTCATTTCTGTGACACCGTGAACCCTCTCTCCTTTCACATCTTTTAAATAAGCTGAACCTCGCTACTCTTCACCTCTGTCTGTCTTGCATCTCCCCTGGCGCAGCGGTAGCATTGCCCATCTTGCAGCATGCGCTGCCACCGAATCCCATGGAGCAGCAGGCGGAGGAGGCAGTGCTGGGAGCAGCTGGGGCGAATGTGGACCTCGGGTCCATCGCCCGCCACGTGCTGCAGAACGTCTTCACGCCAGGTGCTGCAAAGCTTGTTCACCTCCCTTTGCACTGCACTGCACTGCTCCCCACCGCTGCCCCTTCAAACACCCAGACGCTGAAAACGCTCAACTATACCGGTTGGGCAGCTATCGCCTTTCCTTTTAACCTTACCTTTCACACCCTGTCCGCCATCCTCTTTCCGCTGACTCTTCCAGTCCTTTCTCCCTTTTACCCTGGCTCTCTCTGCCCCCTAACATGCCCCCTCCATGCATCCTGCATCGCCCAGACCCCAGCATCACATTCGAGGTGTATGACATCACAGACCCCAAGGGCCCGGCAATGATCTACGGCCCGGGCCCACGCCTCGTGTTCTACCGCGAGCGTGACAGCCTGCCCATCACCGACATCTCGCCCCCCAATGTCACGCGCCCCTGGGAGGAGCGCTCTGTCGTGCCGCTAGAGCTGCTCGGGGGCCGCCTGCGGCGCTACCAAGTGTGGTGCCGGTGAGTGTGCTGTGTGGTGTGGTGCCGGTGATTGTGCTGTGGTGCCGGTGAGTGTGCTGTGTTGTTGGTGAGTGCTGTGTGCCAGTGCGTGCTGTGTGGTGTGGGCCCCGTGAGTGCACAGAAGCATTCACACCCAGCCTGCTTCTTGCTCCTTGCTATGCCGCTTCCCCGCAAGCTCGCCATTTCGTCACTCTTCAGCAAATAACCATTCCGCCAGAGGGCTCCTCGCTCCCTCAATGCTGCTTGGTCCATACCGTTGTCTTGCACCTCTTTCATCACCTGCTGCATGACAGTCCTTGGTGGCTCCTCAACCTCAATGCTTCTTGCTTCGTGTGCACCCCCCCAGCTACGTGGAGGCACCAAGCACATGGCTCTCCTGGGGAGTGCCCGTCCTGTGGGCGGCGCTTGCTCTCGTGGTGACGGCACTGATAGCAGCTGTGGCGTGGCAGCAGCGGGTGGGGTACATGCGCAGCGAGGAGAGCATGGCAGCGGCGGACCAGTTGAGAGCGAAGTCGAGGGCAGCGGAGCGGTCGAAGAGCTCGTTCGTGGCGTCCATGTCGCACGAGCTGCGCACACCCATGCTCGGCATCGTGGGGCTGCTCGATGCTCTCGAGGACCGCCGCCTCTCTGCCGCCCAGCTGCACGACGTGGCTGCGGCGCGCACTGCCGCGTACGACACGGTGCGCCTCGTCAACCGCGTGCTCGACCTCTCCAAGCTCGAGGCGCGCCGCATGGCGCTCTGCTGCTCGCAGTTTGAACCGCGCGCGTGGCTGGAGGAGGTCGTGGTCGGTTACTGTGAGCTGGCGCGGAAGAAGGGCATCGAGGGTGAGTGCGTGGGGAGTGGGGAGGAGGAGGGGGGAGAAGGGGGAGCGGGAGCTGGTGGGGCTGGGGATTGGGTTTGAGTGCGTTGAGAGCAAGCTTGACAGGTGTGTGTGTGTGTGTGTGTGTGTGTGTGCGCGCGCGCGTGCGTGCGTGTGTGTGTGTGTGTATGTGCGCGTATGTGTGTGTGTGTGTGTGTGTGTGTGTGTGTGTGTGTGTCTATGTTGTGTGTACCCCATGTGTGGGTGCCATTCAAGAGGTGCATTTTCCCTGGGCGTATACTCCTCGTGGGCATCTTACTACACGCGCTTTGCTGGAGGGGCCTTGCTTTGATTGTCACTGACATGGCTGCACAAGAGGGTGGGTGGCATGGTGCGTGGACTTGACTCACAATATCACCCTCCTTCGAGGTGGCTGACAGTGGTGTGGTTGTACTGTGACTGTGGCTGTGGCAGTGGCGGGCATGGTGGACACGGGAGTGCCTGCATTGCTTCACATGGACACCATGCGACTCACTCAGGCGCTCAAGGAACTCATAGGTCAGTTCACCACTACAATGCAAACTCCCACTCCCAAAACTCTCTCTCCGTCCCCGTTTTTTGTACACATGTACCAAATATGACGTTAAGTAATACACTTACACTTGGTATTGATGATAAGATTAAGAACTGCAGTTTCACTTAATAATGTACTTACACTAGGTACCAGACATAGAGTTAATTAACACACATACATATAGTAACGAGGATAATGTTGAACAATAAGGTTAATATCTATTGACACTTTGTACGAAGCACGTAGTTACACTTGGTACAGAATACAAGGTGAAGTAACCCACTTACACTTACTACTAGACATAAGGTAAAGTATTAATAACACTTAGTCCCAAACATAAGGTGAAAATGAAAGCTTTCATGTATTGCTGCCCCATGCTCACACTCTTATGTTGTTGCATAACGAACTGTCCCATCTTTTCAATCCTCTTACAATGGGCAGACAACGCCATGTGCTACACGACCCATGGGCACGTGCTGGTGCGAGCGTACGTGTGCCCTGCCACCACCTCCCTCGAGGACTTTCTCCACCACCACCTCTGTCAGTGCCGCCCTGCCCACCATTCGTTCCACTTGCCCTATTCGACCTTCTCGCTCCACTCCCTCCACTCACCCCAATCACTCCACTCATCCTGCATCAACCTTTGTGTTAGAAATGGAGCTTCAATAGATGATCAAGAAAGAAGGCACTAGGCCTTAAGTACAAGCAAGTTTGGGTTGAGCAAAGCTAGGGGATGGATAGGATGGAAGTACAAGCAAGTTTGGGTTGGCAGATTTGTTGGATTACGCGGGAATCCCAACCAGATAGGGTTGGGATTAAAAAATTACACCCAACCTTCAAATAACATACGAGATATAAAATATAGTACACAAAAGGTTGACAGCCTATTTCTAACACTTTCTTTATCTGGCTGAGTGGTCTTCTTTGCTGGAAATCCTTGTTCTACCGTCCGACACTTTGCTCCCTCCCTCTCTCCCCCCAATCCCCCTTCCCCCTCCTCACAACTCTCTGGTGTCCACGTTCCCCCCTTCCCGTACATGCATATCAGATACCCCGCTCCACCCCCCTCCTCCACCTCCTCGCCACTTGTTCTTCTCCTGGGCGGCCTACCTGCACACACAGCTGGGGCTTCTCTTCAATGGAGCTGCTGCAGCTTGCTGGGAGGAGAAGGGGCCGCTAGATGAGGGCGAGGGGGATGAGGACCCCTCCCAGTCAGCTGTTCCGGGAGACCAAGAACAAGTGGGGGAGACGATGGGAGATGGAGGAGGGGACGATCCTGGGTGGAGCAATGGGGGTGAGGAGATGCAGCTGGTGCTGTCGTGTTCCGACACGGGCTGTGGGTTTGACTCGACAAAAGAGGAGGTGTCAGAGTTCAAGGTAGAGCCTCTTAAACATCATAATAGTTGTTGAGAGCACACTGTGATGATGGAGTTGTTGAGGATCTCATCACATCATAATAGGCAAACGTGCATCTCCGTAGAGGAGTGGTGTGCTCATATCGGTCGTGCTCGCTCGTCGTAGCAGGTGTGAGTCGGTACTCAGGTCTCATGATTCATCTCCTTATCTGTGTTTGGTTCGCTGCAGGGGCGATCGGAGAGTGGAGGAGCGGGCCTGGGGCTTGTGCTCGTGCACCAGCTGGTGAGTCCTCCCCCTGTGCTCCTCCCTCACCGAGTCTCGTCCCATCCCCTCTCGTCGCTTCATGCTTCTCCGAAACCCTAAGCAAAGAGCAAACACCTCCCTTCCACCCGCCCTTCCCAACTCCTCCATTCCCCCTTCCCCCCTCCTCCATCTCCACCCTTCCCCCTTCCCCCATCCCATCTTCCCTCCTCCTCCATCCCCTTTCCCCCCCCTTCCTTCATCTCCCCTTCCTCCCTCCTCCATCCCCCGTTTCCCCTTCCTCTATCGCCCCTTTCTCCTTCCTCCATCCCCCCCTCCCTCCTCTTCCATTCCGCCTTCCCCCTCCTCTATCTCCCATCCTCCACTCCTCCATCCTCCCTCTCCACTCCTCCATCCTCCCTCTTCCTCTCCATACCCCTCAACCCTCCATCCCCTATCCCCGTCCCTCCCTCCGTCTCCCCTCCCCCTCTCCATCCCCCTTTTCCCGCTCCATCCCTCCTCCTCTTCCCCATCCCTCCTTCCGCCCTTCCGCCCCCGCCAGCCATGCCCCTTTCCCCCACAATGCCCCCTTCCGCCACCATGCTCCCCCCTTCCCCCAGGTGGCCCTCATGGGCGGCCGCGTTGCCTGTCTCTCCCACCCCGGCACCGGCTCCACCATCGCATTCTCCGTGCCCTTCGCTCGAACCCGCCGCCCCCCTGCTCCCCCTCCTGCTGCTGCCCCTCACACTCACCATGCGGGAAGGGCAGACGGGCGAGAAGGGGGCGAGATAGAAGAGGAGGATGGGAGGTCGACAGGGGAGGGATGGGGATGTGGCACGTGGTGGGGGGGTAGTGGGGGATGCTGCAGCAGTTTGAAGGAGGGGAGCTGGCTGCGAGGGTGTACAGGCAGGGGGAGGCGGCAGGGGTTGGATGCACGGCGCTTGGGCATGCAGGGCATGGGGGAGAGGAAACCGTGCAGGGGGGAAGAGGAGGAACATGCGGGGTGCACGAGGGGCGTTTTAGGGGTGGCTGTGGGCGTGGTGGGGCCGGAAGGCAGCACGCGAGAGGTGAGGCCTCTAGGGGGATTGGGCACATATGCTTGTGTGTGTGAGAGGGGCGAATCAGATGGAGTGGTTCACAGGGGTCATCATGTCACTCATCTTCTTTACTGCTTCTCTCCTCTAGTGACCTCAAGCCTGAAGCATGGCATGACCTCCTTCCTGCTACCATTCTCTTTCTTAATGGCAACCTACGCCATTCAAGCACACCTAGAAGCGCCTCAAACTCCCGTGTTCCAGGACCATTCTCCTGCTGTTGCGCCTTTGCCCATTGCAACCACCCAATTTGTGCCCCCACTCTTTGCGAATCTGCTTGTCTTTCCCGTGGCAGCTCACGGCGCTCATGCTGGCGGGTCTAGGAGCTCACGTGCACGTGCTGCCCCACGCTCTGGATCGCTTGCAAGCCGCTGACGCCCGTACTGCTGAGGGGGGGACAGGCAGAGCTGAGTGGAGCTGCGAGGATGCAGCGAGGGAACAGGGGGGGGCGGGTGAGATGAGATATGTGGAGTGCGGAGTGAGTGGCTTGTGTGGTCCGACGGGCGGGGAATCCAGGGAGGAGGCGGGAGGGAGAGGTGGTGTGGGAGAGGGAGGGGATGAAGAAGAGGGTAGGGAGGCCATGCCATGCGTGGTGGTGGTGAATGAAGAGGACCTGTGGTGGCAGCAGGGAGGGGGAGCAGCAGCAGGCATGCGGTGGGACAGGGACAGTGAGCCTGATGCGTGCAAGGGTGATCCCCTGTGTGGATGGAGCGGGCAAGGGGGTGGGGGCAGAAGCACGGGTGTGGTGGCGCTGGCGCCGGGGGAGGCAGCAGCATGGCAGGCAGCAGCAGTGGGGCTTGTGAGGCGCACACAGGGGAGAGAGGAGCTAGGTGGGGGGAGAGGGGCGGACGGGGAATCGGGAAGAGGAGAGGGAGTGGGGGAAGGGATGCGGTTGAAAAGGAGAGAGGTGAGCTGCACGGAAGTTAGGCAACCTTGCTGGGATAGGGCAGCAGGGATCGTCATTCTCGCTGCGTACGCTGCTGGATCCAAAATGGATGAGGTGGGGGGAGGGGACGGAAGGGATTGGATGGAGGAGGTGGAGGAGAGCACAAGTGCTGGAGGGGGAGAGGAGGAGGAGGTGTGTGGTGATGACAGAGGAGCAGGGAGAGTTGGTGGAGCGAGGCAAGCATCCTCTGGTTCTTGTGCTGCTGTAGCCGCCTCGCCTGCCACTGCCTCTGCCAGTGCTGCTGCTGCTCCCCGTGTAGTGGTGTGCTTCCGCCCTCTGCTCTCCCACTACCTACACCACGCCGTCCAGGTGAGCTTGAGTTTGTGTTGCACGTCAGCCATGCTGGCAAAGCCAGCTCGATCACGCAGTGAGCCGGCGGTCACCTTCTGGGGATTCAAGACCCATGCAGTGGGTTAGTGTGGCCAGCAACCCCCAAACCAGACCTATTGCCTCACTGAGTTCCGCAGCCTGGTGTTTGCCACTCCACACTCACCGTTCACCCTGCCTTCCCACGCCCATCTTTCCCAACTGCAGGTGGCAGCGTTTGGAGTGGATTCCGAGAGTGCATGCCATGGCAATTCAAAGTACGTGTCAGTGCAGGTTAGCCCCGATTCTACCCGGCAAGCACAGCAGGGCACGCAGCAGGAGAGCAGCAATGGGAGGTCAGAGCAGCGGATTCCATTCAAGCGGTGGAGTGAAGACACGCCGCGTAGCAGCAGCAGGGATGGTAATGCAGGGTGTGGTGAGGGCCAGAAGGGTGGCAGTGTGTGGGGTGAGATGAGTGACAGTGGTTTCGTGAACGTGAGTTCACATACAGTGGTGAGGAGCGTGAGTGAGCGTACTGCAAGCTTGGAAGGAGTGGAGCCTTCTAGCTACACAGCAACGCGGAGGGCAGCAGCCGCAGGAGCGGCGGGAGCAGCAGCAGGGGGGGCAGGGGGGTTGGTGGCGGGGTGGCGGGTGCTGGTGGTGGACGACACGGCAGTCAACCTGCTGGTGGCCCGCCGCACTCTCACTCGCTGCGGCGCCACCGTCAGCACGGCGGGCAGCGGGGAGGAGGCGGTGCGGCGTGTGGCGGCGGCTGTGAGTGCGGCAAGCGATGGCGCGGCGGCGGATGCCAGCGCTGTGCTGGATGTGGTGCTCATGGACCTGCAGATGCCCGCCATGGACGGGTCAGTGGTGCCCAGCGGGGGTGGTGGGCATTGGATGGGTGAGTGGTGGGCATGGATGGGTGAGTGGTGGGCATGGATGGGTGAGTGGTGGGCACTTTGTCAACCTTCAATGGAAATCTAGAGCAATCTCCCATGTGTGACAACTACGTGGATGAACGCAGTTGTATGGAGTGAGACAGCAAGGATAAAATCAGCGGTGATACTCAAACAGGAGGGTATTCAAACTCTCGGTGCCAGTAAACCCAGACAAGCGGTTGGTGAACGCAACTCAGTGCTGGAGAGGGCTGCAGCCCTGAGTCCCACATACAATCGAAGTGCCATTGAGTCCCACATACAATCGAAGGGATGAAAATGGATGAATATTCACTGCCTTGCACATTCACTGTCTTTGCATAAGCTTCTGTCTGATTTTCCTCCTCACAGCACCCTACACACCCTCTGTTTCTGCTGCCTGTGCTGTGCTGCCTGTGCTGTGCTGCCTGTGCCGCACTCCTCCCAGGTTCATGGCAACAGAGGCGATACGCGAGCTCGAGAGGTCTGCAGCTCTGAGATCCACCCCGACAGCACAAGCAGCAACTGACGGCGGTGCACAAATGCACACGCAGGGTGGTGCTGCATCTCACTCTCTCGCTCCAGTCACCACGCTGACACGAGTGCCCATACTGGCTCTCACAGCAGATGTGGATGCTCACATCACGCAGCGGTGCCTTGCCAGTGGCTTCGATGGCATTTTGCAGAAGCCCATTGACCCCAAGCAGCTCGCCAATTTAATGCTACGGATAGAAAAGCCTCCCCGGTTCGGACCGTTGAGAACGATTTCACATCCGACAACATGACCGTTGTCTGTATTGATCCCCCCACATAGATGGTAAAACCCCCACATAGTACACCCCCCCATAATAGAATGCACCACCAAATTCTTGTATTTTTATACCACCCCTCCCCCTCCCCTCCTCCATCCTTCCCCCCCCCCTTCCTCTTGTTTTTGTGTTAGGTTGTTTGTATGTTTGTGTTTTTTTTTAACATGCTCTAATTGGATACACAAGAGAGCATGTGCTGAGATCAGTGGTTCTCAATATCACAATCAGTCCTCAACACAAACTCACAGGTCTCATGAGGCATACCACTCTATCTCCTCTCCCATCACCATCTCCTCCTCAGATTATACTCCTTCCTCAGCCTCTGGTTATGGCGGGGACATGTCATCGTACATTTCATACAGGGGGTTGTTCATGTCAAAATGTTACAATGCTTATATCGTGTAGGCTGTAGTGGGGTAGCCCATAAGGGGTACAACCCAATTAGGGTTAGTACCGTATCACCCCAGATAGAAGCGCAGGCCTATTATAAGCGCATGCGCTTCTATCTGGAGCAATGCGCTTATGGCCGATCCTCAATTGTAAGCACACCCCCTTTGAAAACGTTACTTATTATAAGCGCATGTACAATTTTAAATTAAAAATTCTGTTCGAAACGGTAGCGAGATTCAATTTTGAAGCGAGTACAATCTCATTTTCGCTGAGTTTGACTCTCGAAGACCTGACTAGCTGCGCGTCCAGTCAGGATGTGCTGGCATGACTGCAAAGTGTCGCATCTTGGCCCCAGTGTGCTGGAAGAGAATCGCGTGCAGGAGATTCTGCATTGTGACGCGAAAATTTTCGACTCGGTTGAAATGGCAAGAGTGAAACATACAATTTGGTGTCTTAAATTTATAAATTCGTATATGTCATTATATAAGCGCATGCGCTTATAAAAATGACTCAATTAGAAGCGCACCCCCCTAAAAAACTCTGCTTTATTATAAGCGCAGGTGCGCTTCTTGTGAAAATGAACGAGGAATGAAAAGACTAAGGGAAAGTTGGGTACAAGTACAAACCCTAGAAAGCTGTACCCCATATGTGCTACCCCACTATAGCGTACAGCAGCTAAGTCATATAAATATGACACACCCCCATAGGCAAAGTGGGGGAGGACAAGGGGTCACAAGACCAGTCAAGCAAAGCAAAGCAAGCTCAGGGTGGATCAAACGTCACCACACATTCCGAGCACAAGTTCAAGGCCACAAGGCCAGTTCACATGCAGGATTACATATATATATAAGGCTAAACAAGCAAGAGCAGGTGTATATATATATGTAACAGTACAAACAAGGTCAAGGGGTGAGCAAGTGAGGCAAGGTAGGCACAAGACCCAGCTGAGTACAGAAGCGCTGATGATCACAAGGCGCAAGTGCCTTGGTGAAGATATCAGCAGTGTTGGCCTGAGAGGCCACGTACGCAAGCCGCAGCTGACCACGCTGCTGTAGCTCACGAGCAAGGAAGTAGCGGAGAGCAATGTGCTTCGTTCTGTGCTCCAGTCTCTGCTCTCGACACAAGGCCAGCATGGCCTTGTTGTCTACGTACATCACTGGAGGAGAACGAGGCGGCTCTCCGAGGTCAGTCAGCAGGTACGTGAGCCAGCGAAGCTCCTGTGCAGCCATGGCCCCTGCGTAGATCTCAGCCTCACAACTAGAGCCGAGAACAGAAGACGAGCGGGTAGCCCGCCACGAGACAGAGCCGGAACCAAGGCTGAAGGTGTAACCCTGTGACGACCGCTGCGTAGCCTGGTCGTCAGCCCAAGAAGCGTCTGCGTGCCCAGTGAGGACCACTGGACTCTGCCCTCCAAGCACAAGCCCCATGCCCGACGTACTGCACAAGTAGCGCAACACCCTCTTCGCTGCAGCCATGTGCTCCGGTCTGTGTCTCCCAGGAGCAACATAGCGTGCGAGAATGCTAAGAGGGTATGCAAGGTCAGGTCGAGTGCAGGTCATCAGGTACATGAGGCAGCCAACAAGCTCTGGGTACGGGCCACTCGACTCTACGGACTCATCCGAAGGCAGAGCTGAGAGCGAGTGGCGAGTAGGCAGAGGAGTGGCCTGAGGCGAGGAGTACGTGAAGCCGAAGCGCTGAAGGACCTGCTGCACCATGTGTGACTGAGTCAGGGTAATGGTGCGGCGTGCTCTGTCCCGGGTGATCTGCAAGCCAAGGTAACTGCGCAGTTCACCCAGGTCTGTGCACGTGTGTCTCTTCTGCAGCTCGGACTTCACGTGGGCGAGTCCAGCAGTGTCAGCTGTGGCAAAGACCAAGTCGTCGACGTACACGAGGATGTAGAACGGCGGCAAAGAAGTGTCGGTGCGCAGAAACAGCGACGGGTCGGCAGTAGAGGGAGCAAACCCAAGAGCCGCAAGCGTAGTCCTCAGTGTGTCGTGCCACTCACGCGGTGCCTGGCGGAGACCGTAGACTGGCCGCCGGAGGCTCCACTGGGTGCCAGGAGGAAAAGTCCCAGTGAAGCCAAGTGGGCGGCGCAGCCAGATCTCCTCGTGCAGGCTGCCCTGCAAGAAAGCAGTGCTGAAGTCAAGAGAGTGTAGCTCGTAGTCACGGTGAGCAGCTATGTGCAGCAGTACCCGAAGAGTGGTCATCTTCGGGGTGGGAGAGAAGGTCTGAAAGTAGTCAACTCCCTGCCGCTGACTGAAGCCACGAGCCACGTAACGCGCCTTGAAGACATGCGGAGAACCCGGCGGCCGCTTCACCCTGAAAATCCACATGCCACTGACGATGTTCGCCCCAGGCGGGGGAACCTCGTCAACGTAGGTGCCTGTGGACTTCCAGGAAGCCATCTCTGCGTCCATAGCTGCCTGCCACTGAGAGGAGTAGGGACCCTCTATCGCCTCCGCGTAAGAGGGCGGAGTCGGGATGTCAAGTGCATCCGGGTCTCCCTCAGGGGTAAGCAGTACGGACACGAGATGAGGTGAAGCAGCAGCCAAACACTGGAACTCCTCCTGTCTGTCCTCAAGGACGTCCGTGCCAAGGGCACACTCACCCCCGACGGACGGAGGACGGACAGACTCAGACGCAGCAACAAGACTAGCAGCGTAGTCTAGACGACAGCGAGCAGCAAAGTCGACGAGCTCAGCAACTAGGGCAGACGCAGCAGTGGACTCAAAGGAAGGGTCAGTGACAACAGTAGCAAGGAGACGCGTGACAGTCGGACTGGCAGCACGAAGGGAGTCCGACTCCGGGTCAGCAAGAGCAGGAAGAGAGGACTCAGGAGGAGAAGGCAAAGGGGCACGCAGAGGAGCAGTGGACGGACAGAGAGACATCCGGTGCGTGCCGGGCACAGGGGGAGGACGCTGACGCGAACCACGACCACTAGCGCGAGCAGCACGGACAGGCGACGCAGGACGAGACGCAGGCTCACGACGCTCAGCAAGACCTCCAGTAGGACCAGTGTAGGGAGAAGGAGCAGGCAGTGGGGAGGCCGGCTGTAACTGTAACTGTGACGGGACAGGCTGTGGACACTCTAAGGGAGGAGGAGGACCAGTAGAAGGCGGGAGACCAAGAACCTGCTCAAGAAGCGGAACGAAGTACGGCCGAGGCCGCGCAGCGACTCCAGACACAGCAGGGACAGCACCAGTACCCCCAGTGGTAGCACCAGCGCCAGCAGCACCTCCAGCTCCAGTACCCCCAGCAGCTCCAGTAGCTCCAGGATCTCCAGCAGCACCAGTAGCACCCCCAGCAGGACCGCCTCCAGTACCGCCAGCAGTACCCTCAGCGCCAACACCCTCAGCAGCTCCAGCTCCAGTCGGACCACGAGAAGACGCAGTGGCTCCAGCTCCAGTAGTACCCGTAGGCCCAGCAGCTCCAGTACTCCCAGTACGAGCACCTCCGGGACCCGTGGCACCAGCACCCTCAGCAGCCGAAGAACCTCCAGCTCCAGCAGCACGCCTCCAGCGCCGGGCAAACCACTCACGCACCTCCTGTGGAGAGAGTGGCTCCCGTCGAGACGGAGCACCCAGAGAACCTCCAGGCCCAGCACCGCCAGATGCCACACGAGCAGGCCCAGCTCCCTCAGGCTCCGCACCCCCAGGCTCAGCACCTCCAGGCGTAGCACCCCCAGGCTCAGCACCCCCAGTCGTAGCACCCCCAGGCTCAGCACCCCCAGACTCAGCACCCCCAGGCTCAGCACCCCCAGTCGTAGCACCCTCAGGCTCAGCACCCCCAGGCTCAGCACCCCCAGGCGTAGCACCCACACGCTCAGCACCCCCAGAGTCAGCACCCCCAGGCTCAGCACCCCCAGCAGCACCAGAGTCACCAGCGACCTCCACAGGCTCGACTGCGTCTACCTGGGACACACCTGAAGGGGCAGGACCCTGAGGGGGAAGGGGGTCTACCGGGGGGGGACCTGGCACAAGGAAGAGCGGTGGCGGGGGGAGGGACGGAGTGCGGTAGGGGAAGAGACGGTAGTAGGGGACCGACTCGTCAAACGTGACGTCCTGGGAGGACAGAACACGGCGAGAGGTGGGGTGGTAGAACTGCCACCCTGGCGCGTCAGGGGGGAAGCCATGGAAGACGCAGGGAGCAGCACGAGGGGACAGCTTGTCCGCAGACAAGTCGCGGACAAACGCCCGAGATCCCCAGACACGGAACGCAGACGCATCGCCAACCTTCCCCGTCCACAGCAAAGCTGGGGAGGTCTCCGGCATGGAGACCCTGGGCTGAAGGTTGATCTGATGCGCCGCGTACCGAACCGCAAACGGCCACAGAAAATGGGGGGCAGCCGCATGCATCATGGACGTACGGGCGACGTCCATGACCATGCCAATGCGGCGCTCAGCAATCCCATTTTGCTGTGGAGAGTCCGGAAGCGTGAAGGTCTGGCGGATGCCTCGTGCATGACAGTAGGCTCGCAGAAGGCCAGAGGAGAACTCTCCGCCTCTGTCAGAGTGCAGACGCAGAACAGGAAAGTCCGAGCCGAAACTCTCTCTGAGCTGGAGACGAGCTGCGCGGATCCAGTCGAT